CGAGCAGGAGCCTAAATAGGGGCCGGAGGAATTACAGTAGGTGCTTGAGCTGGTATAGCTACGCCATTTTCGATTACATCCCACATGTCAAGATCTGTAGCTTCAATGTAAGATTGCATTCTTTGCTTCCAGTAGTCATAGTTGCTTCCATCAAAGTAAGGCAGCTTATTAGGAGCTTGAGCATCAATGGTAAAGAAACCACCAAAGTTAGCCATAAGAGAAGATCTTTATACTCAGAAGAAATACATTTCAAGTAACGAGCAATAGGGCTCTGATACCAATTGTTAAGGCTAACAATACAACTTAGAGGGGGGTGAATTTGTTGTTTTAAATACTTTGACGATCTTTCGCGGAAATTAGCAAACACTAAGTAAAGATCAAATCAAACTAATGTTTCAAAGCTCATGAGATGATTGTGTGATGATGTGGATAAAAAGATGAAAGCAGTAGCATACAATGATATATAGTGGTTTGGTTTTATCTTTATCCCCAAGCCTACGTCCACTCTCAATACTAACAGCCACAAATCGGGTTAGATTACACTAGTAATCTATTGAATAAGTTACACTCAGCACACACCAATTCTTTGAAATGTTAGATCACATTATCAAGAATTCAAGTGCTGCTATATGTCGGTACACTTGATCTTTTACACGATTACAACGGCAGCAAGAGTACAATGCTCAAAGTAATAAACGAAAAAGATCTTTTTGCTAAGAACACAGCTTGAAGCAAAATTTTAGTCTTTTGTATACGCGTGTGTCTAACTTTTGGCTTCAAAGATCTTCTCTTTCATATCCATCTTCAATCTTCCCCTTGGAGATGATTTGGAGAAGCAAGGAGCCGTTAGAGTTACTGTTGATGCTGCTATCCAAAGATAGAACTGCCTATATAGTCATGTTCCTGAACATTTGCAGGCTACCCGAACATAGCTTTTGCTGCTATCCTATTATTGCAGCTTCTGGCAAGTTTGTCAGACTGCATGTTCTCTGATTCTCTATGGACTTATGGTTTTTTCTGCTATGCACATTCACTCAACAACGACTATATTTATGAGCCAAAGAACCTCTTCATATGGTCGTTGTACAAACATCACCATGGAAATTATATTTCTCAGCATTGACACAAACATTGTTAGCAGCTAATCTTTAGGTCCGTTGGTGCTGTTTACAAAAAAACCGTTGACACCTAAATTTTAGGTCGTGACAAAAACGTATAAGAATACCTTGCGATTTTCTCCCAATGGATCACACCATGGACATCATGTAGTCCTTAATAATTGTCATGAAAATCTACAAATATCATAGTAAATATTATACTACGTATAGTTTGGAAATCATCAAAATCACCCGGAGATGTTTCTTTAATAAGGGTGTCGGCACTTGCCTGGATCTAGGTGAGGGCCCGACGCCCTTGTCTGTGGCCGGCGAGGGCCACAACACCCTTGCGCCCGCCCACAGTTGGTAATGAAAAGGGAAGGAAAGAAAAGAAAAAGGAAAAAACAAAAAAAGTAATAAAAAAATTATAAAAAAAATTATCCTCGTCAGCGCCGGCTGTCCTAAGTAGGACGACCAACGTCTATGTCAACAATTTCCAGCAAAAATTGGTCGAATGGACTTAGTTTGCAAAACGTGAAAATGTTTAGGACTTAATTGGTCTAATTGAAAGGTTTTATGACTAAATTGGTATCAATACAATAGGTTTAAGACTTTTTTTTGTACTTTTCTCCCGTAAATTTGGTGGTTAAAGGGAGAGAGATCCTATTTTGGATCCTATAATATAATAATAATAAATTTATGCTTTTACATTGTCCTATGACTAGACTATTAATCTTTCTATTAATTAATGATGTATTTAACTACACGTTATTAACCATCAACCAAGTCCCTTTTTCAAAAATTTTCCCTTTGTTTGGAACTCCTATTACAAAGGTACTTTTGGATGCTTATCTCATTTAATCAAACACTACTGCATTATCATTAGAAAATTCTTGAGATTATTGCAAGATTATGGTTTTTGATGATTTTAATACATCTTTGTATGACCCTAAATATGGTTATGGGTACATGTCCAGTCTACATGAAAAATACACGATATTTGTTAATATACATATAAGGGGCCTATTTTTTTCAAATATTAGAACGTCAATATCTTTGCTATTCGAGACGTGAAAAGTAACTTCTTTTAGAAAATAATAGTTCCCAGAGCATCAAAAAAAAAAATCTATGTGGGGGATGATCATAATTATTTTCTTGGGAATCCCACAATCTCTCTTTTCATTACTTTTTCTCCCACATTTTGTAGTGCTCTTCAAAAGACTTCGAGGTTGGACCCAAAAAAAAAACAAAAGACTTCGAGACGACTTGTAAATCTTTTTGCACCGTCATCATGTGGTTACCAGGCTTTGGGCCCTGAGGTTTTTGTCTGCATCCAGGCCTCACTTGCATGAACCAAATATACAAAATCCCAATGAATTTTAGCGGTTAGATGACGTCGGTCTTATATGGAGCCTACATAAATCAACGCTAGAGATCCACTGGACTCATCTACATGCGTGACCAAGTTGTTAATGTTTGGGTGCAGGGTCAGGCCAACTGGAAAGGAAAAGGTATCCTCAAAGGTTGATAATAAAAAGGTGGTTTTCTATGTTTTCTTTTGTCGTGAAACACGTTACTTTAGTTTGACGCAAAAAATAATTATAAAAACACGTTAATTTAGTTTGGTCTCGATAGAGATACGCCATGGATAAAAATAAAAAATGACTGCCCGAAAGAGGGCTCAATGATTAAAATAATTTGTTGGCAAGTTTCCTCTTAATCAAATCATTTTGTTTTAAAACCTCGAATTATTAATTGAATAATTAAACATATAATTTCAATACGACATATTCTGTCATAACCTCGCCAACTTCCCTGGTGACAGAGGTTTACTAGATGCATGTGCACAGGCGAATTGCATGATAGTTTGAATTATTTGTATTAAAACAAAAAGGCAATATCTTGTTTTGATGGCAAGTCAATTACAGTTAAATCTAAGATGATTCAATTAAAATTAAAATAAAATCGTTGTTTTGTTCATTGCCTAAGATGGGTTTTCTCCTATAAGTGATCGTAATTACTACATATGGTATTTACTAATAATTTAGAGATTTAGATCGCAAAAGCATGTGATGCAATTATATAAGCTTTCACATATTAAGAAGGGGTCACCCTTATGACACTTATTAAGTAATCAAACAGAAAAAGATGTATATTGATAATTTTATACACTGATTTTTATCGTAATAGGTGTATTAATATCTATAAATCATTCCATACAGTATACCTCACCACAGCTCTCAAGAACTCATTAACAAGATTTCATATGTTTATTTAGGGCAATGTCTTACGCGTCTTTTCTCCCACTGTGTACTCACAACAAAAAATCCAATAAGAACACCAGAACTACAAAATTTTCTCTATACAAGCAATTTTATATGTAGTTGACACGTGCTTATTTTCCAACTAGATAATTAATGAGTGGAAAAACTGACAAAATATGAGAATAATAGGAATAACAAGCAAGAGAAAATTGAGAGAGAGTGTCTGAATTCAAATAATTGACTTGTGTTCTTAGACCATGTTGAACTTACCATTTTTCTGAGAAATGTAAACTATTACAAACCATGTCAACAATTTATTTATGACAAACTACATTACAAAATAATGCGGCATCATACATTCTTGTGGTCGATTTATTGCTGAAAGCATGAGACCCAAGACAAAGTGTGCCTTCATTTAATTATCCAGAAATTACATAGTACATCATCAAGCAAGCACAGTTCACTGTATCTTTTTGGAAATATAGATCATATATCGCCAGCATAAAAGTAATTTCACATAAGCAATCTCATCCATCTTTGATTTGAAGATTATTACTACCAAACTTTCAAATCAATGGTGTATGCAGTCATTCCTGTAAAATTTTATTTACACCGGTTGCATATGCTACAATTACTCTACGTGTTTTTTCGATATAGCTTTTCGCATCTTGCAATTATGTATCTTGACAACAAGTATACTAGTGCAAATAAAATATATTATTGTACATCATAATAGCATTACTGTTATAGTATTATTTGATAGGTAAAGTGGAAGGAAATGGCAATTAACTAACTCCCACTAAGCGTTATCATAAAAGTTCCACACACATAACATGATGGTACATTTAAACTATTGCTAATTTGAGCAAGCCAATTTTGGCTCACCACGATATAGTGAGAGTACAATCGGGAGAATCCTATATCATGGCACAGTCAAACATACGCAGCAAACAAATTAAGATTTTTCGAGGCCAACAAGCAACTAGGAAGTTTCGAACTTGTGACCAGTGTGGCTCGAGAGGTTCGGAACTACTAGAAAGTAAGCTTTGCTCAAAATGGTGATAATTCTTATTTTTCATTTTACTTCATCTTGAATTTCTTGATAATACTACTATTTCTAGACAAGTAATGCTATATGTATTGATAAATCATACTAAAATTTTATATTAAATGATGTGTCGATTTCTTATTGGTTTCTTAAACAAGCTAGCCATTCAAAGAATGGATCCCTCTTATTTGAATGCTTATTTGAACACTCAATTGAAATTTGTCATATCATTCAGTGAAAATTTTTAGGTAGAATTTCTTTGTACATTTAGAATTTCTCATTGCTATATATGCTTTGTTACTTCTTAGATGCAAGATAGAACAAAGTTTGCGAAGCAGCCTTAACATTACAATCATGTTTTCGTTTTCATATCCCGTGACCATTCGTTTCACTAGGACAACGATTTTGGGCGCATTGCCTTCCATGTGTAAAGTATCTTTTGCACCCGCAGTTTGATTAAAAGAAAAAACACCTTTGTATGTATGTCTTTTTTCTTATTCTGTCTTGCAATTCTTCATATATGCAAACGGGTCCTTCAATTTGTTCTAATGACACAGTTAGGCCTTCCGCCCTCCATTAGTGTACTTAATTTCACCAATTTGTCCCTGTGAATATAGTGGGTTGGTGTGAACGGCTCATACTTGAATCCCCCTCTGTGAACAAGGGCAGAAGCACAAAGGTGCCAAAAAAAAAAAAAACAGAGTCTGAGAGAGTTTTTTGGAAATGAAGGAAGTGCATCGGCTTCTACTGGTGGCTGTGGCCTGGTGGTTGCGACAAGGCGGCGCTCCCACCGTGGCTGGAGACTGTGCACACGCGTGTGGTGGCGTGACCGTACCTTATCCGTTCGGGCTCGAACCCCAATGTGCGAGTTCCATGGAGTTTTTGCTCAATTGCACTACCACCAACGGGAGCCATGCTCAACTACTGTTAGAGAATATTCCGATACGCAAGATCTCGGTCGGGGACTCGACCATGGTCGTTAGCCTCCCCGAACTATACGACTGCTACAAGATGAATGCCCAGCCAGCAAACACAAGCGATAATCTGGTCATCGATCTATCTTCATATCCCCAGTACAGATTGTCGGACACCCGGAACAACCTCACTGTCCTCGGCTGCGACACCTACGCGCTCATGTCCGACAAAGATAGGATGTTCCGCAGCGGCTGCATCTCCTACTGCAGCGACCAGGTCGACTTCGTTAAGGAGACCACTTGCTCCGGTCACGGTTGCTGTCAAGCATCCATTCCCAAGGGGCTCAAGACGCTCCGCATAAGCCTCTCCTCCATCGACGGACACGTGTCGGTCTCACAATTCAACCCCTGTGGACTGGCCTTCGTGGTGGACAAAATGTCATTCAATATCTCCAACAGGACACTCCCGAGCATCAAGGATTTGGGCAAGAGGGCGGACCTTGTTCTGGACTGGATGGTCGGATGGGACGTGACTTGCGAACAGGCCAAGTTGAACCAGTCGAGCTATACCTGTAGCAACAACACTTACTGCCATGACTTCGCCAATGGATCAGGTTATCGTTGCTTTTGCAAGGCTGGGTACGAGGGGAATCCCTATGATCGCATCCACGGGTGTCAAGGTAATGAACAGATAGGACTCATGCATTATTGCCCTCGAATGAATTGTGTGGATAACTAATTAATTAATCACCATGCAAGAGCCTGATAGGGGAGTACTATATCTATGCATTGATTTCGTCCAATTTACCCATTTAGGGCGCGTTTAATAATGTTTCTGTCTCTGGTTTTCTGTCGTTTTGTTTTCCGGAACAGAAAAATAACATAAATCCGTCTGTGTACGTCAGTTAATTTTTCTATTCCCCGAAATAGAAAAGTGACCAAGAAATAGATTTGAAATAAAAACAAAAAATATAAAAAAATCTACTTTTTTGTTCTCAGGAACAATTTCTGAAACAGGGTCATTTTCTTTTTTTTCTCTTCTTTTTTCCTTCCTTCTTCTTCCTCCTCTAGCCGGTCGTTGGGCCTCGACGATGGCCGGGTAGAGGAGGAAGAAGGAGGGAAAAAAAGAAGAGAAACAAAAAAGAAAAAATTCAAAAAAATTAGAAAATCTCATAAAATTATTAAAAAACTAAAAAAAATGTGCATCACAAAAAAAATTTTGGGTCGTACCAAACACTTCTCTGTTATTTTTCTATTCTAATAATAAAAAATTTATATAATTACCAAACGTGTTCTTCTGCTCAGAAATTCGTTTAGAAAATAAAAATAAAAATAATTATTTCTAAATAAAAATTATATCCGGTAACAGAAATGTTACCATACGTACACTTAATGAGCTGCCGTTTGATTTGTGCCACCCTTTTTCTCTCTCCTCAACCACTACGGCCACTCTCTGGCTTGCACCTCTCGACATTGCCGCCGCCACGTCATTGGCCCACCACCTTAGGCAAGCCTAGTGTCGGCTTTCATGCGCGTCAGACCACCACAGCTGTCTCTCTCTCTCTCTCTCTCTACCATACCAATACACACACCTCTCCTCCATGGCAACAGCTCCTCCACTTCGGAGATGACAACAAAGTACCACCACCACTGCAAGCAACGACTATGACGACTCTCTCTCTCTCTCTTCACGAGTCTGTCTTGTACCTCGTCTCAACGGTGACAAGCCCCCGAGCGTCTCCTCCGCCATTAAGGAGATGAGATTTGCTTGTTAGTCTGTTCCATTAACGGAGGAGACCCTATCTATAGGTCTCCTAAGGAGAAGACAAAACTCCAGCCAACGTTTCATAAAGAGGGACGAAGCAATGGTGCGTGGTGGTGGTGAAGTGGCCATAACTCACCTGAGTATTAATCTCGACGAGGAGACAACGAGGTCATGGCTCGATGGTGGGGGGGATGGCGATGCAATGGTCACAATGACGGTAACGGTAGTGGCATGGCTGGGCCTTGGTGGTGGTGGAGCGGATGGTGAGTTCAGTGAAAGTGATAGTGGGAAGAGTGTTTTCTCATTATTTGATATGTGCTACCACATATAATTTTAATGGGAGGTCTATGTAAGTTTAGGCAATCTTGCTGGGACCTAAATCTATATCTAGCATTGAGCATGTGGAATGTGAGATCCAAGTGATCAACAATTGTGATAGGCCCGCTCGAATAAATTCGAACTTGGGCATGTGTTTCTCCTAGGGAGAATTACTAAAAAAAAGTCTTAAACCTATTGCAATTGTGCCAATTCAGTCCTAAACCTTTTTTTTGCCAATTAAGTCCTAAACCTTTTGAATTTGTGCCAATTCAATCCATCCAGTCAATTTTGACTGGAAATCGTTGACATGGATGCTGTTTATTCTACATGGAGCGATCAGTGCTGATATAGACATTTTTTTAAATAATATTTCAATATTTTTTTAATTTTTTTTCTTCTTCCCTTCCTTCTTCCTCCAACCAGTCACATGACCTCGGCGACTGGCCAGAGGCGAGGGTCGGCAAGGTCAATCTCACTGTCGATGGGCGAGGCCGACCTCGCCATCGCAGGGCGAGGCCAAGCCTCACTAGGGGCAAGTGAGGCTCCCCTCCGCCTAGCGAACCTCGCCGTCACTTGACAAGGGCGAGCCCGGTCTAGCGAGGGCTCATCCAGTGACAGCGAAGTTGGCCTCGCCCAGCAATGGCAAGGTCAGCCTCACTAGTGGCCGGTGAGGTCGACCTCACCGCCTCTCGCCTCTGGTCGGTTGTTGGCGACCGGCTAAAGTAAAAAGGAAGGGAAGAAGAAAAAAGAGAGAAAGAAAATAAAAAAATAAAAAAAAATTAGAAAAAATATTATAATATTATTTAAAAATGTCAACGTCAACGTTGGTTGCCCCCACATAGGACGGTCGGCATCCATGTCATTGATTTCAGGTCAAAATTGGCCGGATGGACTAAATTGGCACAAATGCAAAAGGTTTAAGACTCAATTGGCCAAAAAAAAAGTTCGGGATTGAATTGACACAAATTCAATAGGTTTATGACTTTTTTGGTAATTTCCCCATTTCTCCTAAGATTCCAACTTTTTGCCTAATAGAATAAGTCAAGGCCGTTGCCACCACCTTGCGGACGTCATCCACAACATCATTTGTAGCGACTCTATCCCCAACGTTTCGACTACAATCTTCCCTTCTCCTTTAAACCTTTGTGCCACCGTCTTAAATATATTCACTGAACGTGGTACGCGTACTAAAATGCATCTAAATAGACAGATCTGACGAGCTCATCTCATTTAGTGATAGGCATACATATTAGCACATCCACCTCACTCATGCTTGTAAAGATCAATCTTCTCCTTCCTAGGTATATAATACGGCAATAGCAGCCCCTCGACTCACTCTTGCAACGTAGTGTTCATGCATCATTGCAAAAGCTCGATTTCCACGAGTTCTATATGCAAAATGCTTTCCGAGCTCGTGTGCCCTCAACGGGTCTCGTACATAGAGTTCGAGGAAGTGATGATCTCCGTCAATGACAAAGAACAATGACAATGTTGAGCTCGGATTCGACGGGGAGAAGACAGAAAGTAGGGAAAGGTGATATCTTAAAAGAGAGTGGACATATGTCGTGACCAAAACCTGAATGGGATAGCATTGCCCGTCTAATAATCCATGCGCCAACTTGTTCACTCTGTTTTTGCCATTAACCGAGGTAAAGGTTCAATTTGTCTTCTGCATAATGTAGACATCAATGAGTGCAAGGACCTACACAAATACCCATGTCGTGGAAAGTGCCAGAATCAGCCTGGGAACTACACATGCGACGGCGACGACCGCCAAAATGATCGTCCCGCCATAGCTGTTGCAGGTAATTGCATATATTTCTCCTCGTCAGTCACCTGATGGTTCATATTCTATCAATCCATTCTTGATTTTGCAGTAGGTTTGACGTGTATGTTTTAAGGATTATTATACTGTACTTAGTCTGTGTAATCACAAGCAGTGAGCCACAAGCTGTCAGGTGTCCCAATTCAGTCCCAGGCTAAAGCTGTGTACATCTTTTCTTTGTTTTTCTTTTTATCTTCCCTCCTCGATCTTTTTTTTTCCCTTTTTTTCCGAAGCTAACACTTTGAAACTACATTTATGGGAGGACACGCAGCAGATCTAAATGAAAATTCCTTCTTAACCAAACCTGCAAATCTTGGGCCAAAAAGAACAGCTAGACCTGCAGATTTCACGAGGAAAAAACCCTAAAATTTATAGCAAAAGTGAGCACTTTTTGGACTAGAAAAAGAAAAAGGAAAAATGGAGCACAGAATTAACCAATGACATATGAAGGTGATTGTTGAAGAAGGCAATGCAGCTGAGCTTTGTTAAATCTGAACTGTGAAAATATTGGCCAAAAAAGCAGCACGAGAAGAGCTTAGTGACTCTTGAGTCTGATTGATGATTTATTTCGAAACTTTCTCGGCTTCTCTTGTGAGTTGCTGAAGGTAATAATGGCTCTTGAGGCAAAACGCCAAACGAGATTGCTTTATAAACTTGTGCATAAGGATGACCTTCAAGATTGATGAAGCTCAGTTGGACTTCCAGATTTCATGAAACTTAACTCACCTTCAACGATGACACCCATGTGTTTGATTGGGGCTCATATTGTGTTGTTGCTTTGCCTAATCCTTTTACAGTAATTATTATTCAGATTTGCAGGTCTTGGTTGAGTTTAGATTCGGGTAAAAATTGTTTCTTTTAGGTATCCACCCCTGAATGGCTCACAAAATCTTCTATTGATTATCTGTTGAAAGAGAGAAACAGAAAAGATAAAAGAAAGAAAGAAAGAAAAAAGAGTAGAAATAGACAAATAGTGTATTTGAGAGTAAACAGAAGTGACGCTACGGGTCACGTGGCAGATCCCACTACATTGCTTTTGTAATTTGAGATTACGCTGGAAGACCACAGTATAATAATAATGCATGTTTTAATTGAGATTTTGCAGTGAATGTATGAGTTTTTCCCGGGGTATAAAAATATATTTTCTCATTTGTTTTACATATTTAGGTAAGCAATGTGGGACAATTGTTTTCCATTTATATCATCTTCCCATTGCCCCACATTGACTAATTTGTTTGACTCTATAAAAGCAATCCATGAGGCCACTCCTTTTTTATAAATTCACCCATGAGGTCATTCTTTCTTATAAAAATAAGAAAAATGTCAAAATGGCCATCTATGGATTAGTTATTTTTCAGGAAAAACGAAATTAATTCTAAGGCAATGCCCCGCATGGGATGGGGGAAGCTTTCATTTTAAGGGGCGGGGATGAGGGATGTGATCCTCTTCCCAACCCCTTCCCCTGCCCGTCCCTAGTGAAAACTAGTTTTAGAGAAATAGTCAATTTATAATTAATAAATGGTTACATATTCTTTCATCTCTACTTAGAGGAAATGTCTTTCAATCATGCTTTTGATTGGTGGGTTATACTTTATACAAATTATCTGCACGCCAACTTAACAAAACATAAATTTAGGTAATATATATGTTTATAACCCGTCGATTAGAGTTTCCTCCAATAGAATGGACGAAAAAACATTTAATCGTGATAATTATAAGAAGCATAATTGGTTAAAAAATTCTTCCGATACAAACCATCTTCATTATAATCAAGGAAAGACGTTTGCAGGAGTTATAGAAGACGCTGGTAATATGTATTTAAATTGAGTTCAGTCGATTACATATTCACTTTATAATGACACAGGTCAAATTTCAATTAAGGACTTTATGAGGATTGTTACATGATACATAATATGGGTAACCCATTTGTTATGGAAACAATTTCTATCACTATCCAATTGGGTAATTATATTTGAAAAGATTGACTAACCATCCGAATCAATGGTGATGGTTGCGGATTATGTAAAAATAGATTAAATGTGGAGCATATGAGGATTACATGCTTGAATGAATAATCTAGTAACATATATTCTTTGGCAGTGATTCTTGCGCCCGTCTTCTGCATAACTATTGTTGCTTTAGTCTCGGTCACATGGAAGTGGAGAATCAAAAGGATAAACTTCAGACAAAATGGAGGAGAGCTCTTGAAATGCCATAGAGTTCGTATCTTTACGAAGGCAAAGCTGGCAAAAGCAACCAACAACTATGATGATAGCAATAAGCTCGGCGAGGGCGGTTTCGGTTCCGTCTATAGAGGGAGAATAGCGGGGGACACCGAGGTCGTGGTCAAAAAGCCTAAAGATGGGTACAAGTCTCTAATAAAGAGGGGATTCCAGCATGAACTTAAAACTGTGATGCAAGTAAACCACAAAAATGTGGTGGAGCTCCATGGCATATGTTTGGAGACTAGAATACCATTACTGGTTTATGAATACATTTCGAATGGTACCCTCTTCCAACACATCCATTTGAATGCATCAACCATCTTGAGATTGTGGAAAAACCGGCTCAGAATAGCCGCTGAAGCTGCTCTTGCACTCAAGTATATGCATTCCTACGCAATCATTCATGGCAACATCAAATCAGCGAACATACTTCTGGATCAAAATTACTCGGTGAAAGTCTCTGATTTTGGAACTTCGGTACTTATATCACCTGAGCATAGTCATATCGTAGCCACTGAAATAGAAGGAACATTGGGCTACATCGATCCGGAATATTTAACCACTGGTAAGCTAACAATTAAGAGTGATGTATACAGCTTTGGAGTTGTCCTCATGGAGTTGCTCACGGGAAAGAAGCCTACAAGTTCTATTACTAAGTCTGGAGAGCCAATCAATATCATCCCTTGTTTCATCTCTTCCGTAAAGGACAAGACACTCTCCGATGTCATAAACTTCGAGGCCGCTAGTAAAGATGAAATGGAGAGAGCAGGAAGGGTTGCTGAGATTGCAGTGAAGTGCTTGGACCAAAGCAGTAGGAAGAGGCCGGCAATGAGGGAAGTGGCTCAGCAACTCGCCACAATTAACCCGAGCTCGACAGTTGAAAATGAAGAGACCGAACTCGAAGCGGATGTAGAAAATCTCTTTTCCCTCGAGACTTCAATTACTGGCGAGGAGAGCCAACAGGGGACGTCAAGCTGTCTTTCCTGTCTGGGAATGGATTCCGCATGTTCCTGCATCTGATCCTTATTACTATAGTAACATGTCTAGTAATTGCCCATAGGGACTTCTAGGGATGATTGTGTACTGAATAAATGTTATGTTTGCCATTTGCTTTGGACTTATATTTGTGCAAGCATTTGTGCTAGTTTAAGTGTGAGAATCTAATATAATATATGTTGTGCTAGTTTAAGTGTGAGAATTTAATATAATATATGTAAAGCTGTGCATTGAAGTAGACTTATGGGAAGTTGACTTATGGCCATTTTGACATTATAATAATCTCTATTTTCCTTTATCTTTTCTTGTTTTTCGTTTTTCCCTTACATATAATAATAATAGGTCAGGAAAAAAAACTATTCACTCCCTTTTATCTTTTTTTTTTCTTTAATCTAATCCCAATTCACTTTTATGGCAAGTAAAAATCTCCATTCATTTTCAGTCTTTACTTTTCCCTAATTATATACCAATTGATCTTAATATAATTTCCATTTCCAGAAAAGGATAATAATTGTTGGCCGAAAAGAGAATTACAGGCTACAAAAATATCTACCTTCACTCGTTTCCTCTTTCATTTTTTATCTTAGTTTGATATGATGGCAAAAAAATAAAATCTCAATTTGCATTACTTTCTCTTAATTTATAGTTCATTTAATCTACTTTCTCGTTAGTTGTTAAATTTGGAGTGAGAGTGGAAAAGACAAACCGATTCAAAACTCAGAAAATGCCTCATCTTCCAAACATGATATGATTACTCATAAATATGATAAGGGGTGATAGTCAAACTTATCGGACTCTGAAATCTACATTATTAGTTATTTCATTAAGAACAAAAAGTTCTGATCCAAACCTATGGGAGAGGATCGTAAGATTAAGAAATAAGAATTGGAGAATTTAATTACTTGATAATAACTTTAAGGGATGTGCTTTTTCCACTCTTTTTTTGGCTTATTCACTCTTTGAAATACTATTTTGACTATATTATCTTCTGTGGGTCACGTCTTTTTAGCACATTATATCCACTGACAATTATTAAAGTCAAATGTGAGGCCTATTTTGAGTCCCACTTTTTTACTTTGTTCTTGTTTCTTTTGCTTCAGTGTCTCTTTGTTCTCTCTCTTTGCTTGTTTGTCATCCTCTTCTTCCTTGCTGTCATCTCCACCAACATCCTCCACTGCGCCCTTGACCTTGAAGGCTCCATTGACTGCGCCATTCGCTCTCTCTGCCGCCTCGCCGTCCATAGCGTCCTCCAGAATAGGTTTTGAGAAGTGAGCAAAGTTGCCTTGTTTCCAAAAGACTTACGATTTAAGGCATTTGCTATTATTATGTTTGCCTTACCTGAATGGTAATTTGATAGATAGGTCATAACCTTTAAGAAGTTCTAACCATATCCTCTACCTCATGTTCAGTTTTTTCTGAGTAAAAAAATTCTTCTAACTCTTGTGATTTGTAAAGACTTCGCATTTTTCACAATAATGCCGCAATATTTTCAAAGCAAACACAACCGCTCCTAACTCCAAATCATAAGTGGGGTAATTCTTCTCATGTGTATCAACTGTCCAGAGGCATAAGCAACAACTTATCATCTTGCATAAGAACATAACCTAAACCTTCTTTAGACTCATTACAGTGAAGCCACCATTCCTGAAGGCAGGGTCAATATAGGAACTGATACTAGTCGCTTCTTTAATTCTTGGCAACTACGCTTGCACTGATTTGACCATACAAATTTAACTCCCTTCTGAGTTAAGCAAGTCAATGAACCAGCAATTTTAGAGAATCCATCCACAAATCGCCTATAATAGTCAACTAGCTCAAGAAAACTTCTCACTTCCATAACATTAGTAAGATGATTCCACTGAACAACTGCTTCAACTTTCTTTGGGTCCACTGAAATGCCATCCTTCAAGGTTACATGGCCTAAGAATTCTATATAATCAAGCCAGAAGTCGCACTCAGCGTACAACTTCCTTTCATGTAAAGTCTATATGACAAACCTCAAGTGTTACTCATGTTTCTCCAAACTCTTCGAATACACTAGGTTGTCATCAAGCATTACAATAAATCTGTCTAGATACTCCTTGAATACCCTGTTCTGGAAATCCATGAAAGTACGTAGTAGCATTCATTAACCCAAAAAGATATGACAAGAAGTTCATAATGGTCATACCATGTTCTAAAAGAAATTTTAGGTACATCATTTGCTTTATCTTCAACTGGTGATACCCAGAACGAAGGTCAATCTTAGAAAATACCTGAGCACCCTAAAGTTGATCAAATAGGTCATTAGTCCGGGGCAAAGGATAATTGTTTTTTAACGTCACCTTATTAAGTTCTCGATAATCTATACAAATTCTCATACTACCGTCCTTTCGCGACCTCACCTCCCGCGGTGCACCACCTAGGGGTTCGGTTAATGGATTACTAAGCCTAAACCTAGCTCGGGCTCTCCCAAGCCCATACCAATTCGCGACTTAGGTTCAAATTATTTAACATGCAAAAGCAATTCAATTAGGAGTCGCCACTAATCTATTTTTTGTGGGTCAATTAGAAACCCAAGTAAAGTATCGAGAGAATTACTTTACTCCTAAGAACCAGAGATTATGAATTCGGGGACCTGGTTGCACTAGATTACTCTAATGCCCTTTCGGTACCTTTTCTCTTTTATTTCAAAAAAAATATTTGCAGGCAGCTTGGATTAATTTTAAATCTATCTACTAACATGCGAGGTAATCATGCGGGTGCGCAACCAATAATAGAACACTCAATAATGCAAAGTAATAAATAAATTGCAAGATGGGGACTTACCTCAAAGCAGGGAAAGCATCTGCAATGTTAGTTAGAAATCACATTGACAATCCTAATATAATTTCTAATTAACATGCAATTTCACTCAAATTTTTTTTAGTGTTTTCTCTTATTTAACGAAAACTAAACTTTATGCAATGCATTCTACATCTAGTATGACATGCGACATACGATTTATTTAAATGTCCTATTTCTAACAACAATTAAATGCACTAGCTCTAATGTGGCACGCAAATGAACCAAGACGTGAGATTTCTAATGACAAGAATTAATTTATATGCAACTACTCTAATATGACATGCACGTAGTATTTTTTATAATTTTCTATGAAATTCGAAATTAATTAAATTCTCTAATTTAAACATGCAATCTATCTTTAAAATCATCTTCTTCAATAGTATCTAATCTTTTTGGATTCTTTTTAGAAAAAACAAAATCAATTCAAATCAAAAAAAGATAGAAAGAAATAGCAATCAAACAACACCATATCACAAAATATTACCGATATCCATTTAAATTTAGAAACGATAGATTGACGAATCATATCCCAGGCATGAGATCGGATTGGCCAATTTTTCCACACAATCGCAAATCGTATCTCGGGTGGGAGATCGGATTGACGATTTTCCGTGCGATCGCGAATCATATCTCGGGCGGGAGATTGAATTGACGATCATAGCACGTTACAAAGTTAGGAAATAATTCCTAATTTAAAAGTTATTATGGAACTTAATGAATACGATAATATCACTCAAAGATTCAAACAAAATTGCAATATTTCAAACAAAGAAACAACGTACTCGAAAATCAAATTAGATGAAATTTTTACCTAACTCGAATATTTGCTTTCCAAGTTTTGACCGGCGGACGGTGGCTCGCAGATCACGAACGATGCGGCTGGACCCGGTGACGGTAGTGTCGCGGTAGCAAATTCACAAATGAGCTCTCGGATGTTGAGAAAGTTTGACCGAGAGGAGCTTTGACTTTGCCATGGTTCTTTCGGTGGTTTCACTAGACACTTCACTGATTAGTTCCACAAATTCTGCAAGATTAAAGACAAAGTGCAGGGAAGAGTTCGTCGTGGGCTAGGAACAACAGTGCGAACGATTTCACCAAGAGCGTGTCTTGCGCGAGCAACAGTAGCGCATCGTCACGGGAAAAAACTGGTTTTCGCGGCTTGCGTGACCGATGTCGCGAAAGCCAAGCATGAAAAGGACTCACGGCTGGGTCTTCATGGATGGTTGGGCGTGAGATACTCCGGGGCATCCTACAAAAGAGAGCAACTTCGTTCGATCGGATGAAAGATAGCAGATTGTCGTCTTCTTCTGAGGTGATCTCAAGCCCGGGAACAGCGATGAAGTTGGAACACCAGCAGCGTCGTCGAAGTGGGAGCAGACAGCAGAGGTGCAGCATTGGTCGCAAGTAGCACAAGGGACTAAGGCTCGTCGGGGCAAAGACCTCCATGGGATCAGCAGCGAATAGGGCAGCGGACTCGATATTGGAGCAAATCGTCACGGGGGCTTTTGGTTCACGGTGAAAATAGCAGGTGTCGCTGAAGAAAATCACTAGCGTCAATGGGATCAGCTCGTCTCCATGAGCAGAATGCTTTGTCGTTGAGGCTCAGACCAGATTGGATTTCGTCGAAGGGGCTCCAAGAGGGATGTGCTGCTTGTCACCACGTGGGAAGCGGTAGCAGCAACGCAGGCACAGTGGCAATCGTGGAACTTGGTGACCACATGCAGCAAACTACAAAAGGAAAGCAAAATCTCTCTATTGTTTCTTTTTTCTTTCTCTCTGTATTGTGTATGTGATTAGACCAAAAGAAAAGCCCCCCTATATTGTAAACGAAGCCCCCTTTATATGCAAGTGAAGCGGTCTCCGCAGGGAAACGACCGGCTCTTCTTTCCTCTTTCAAGATATTCGTACATCACGGTCAAAGATACATTCCTCCACGAGTAAGATTAATTTCCCTTCTTTCGACTGCGAGTACATCTTTTAGTGATCTGTCCCTATTTTTTTTACTTAATCCCTTTTGACCGAATATGGCTTCAAATCTTCCACGATCAATCTCCCAATTCAGCAAACTTCCCAACGAATTTCAGCCATGAGAATTAATGGGCTATGTCAAATTTTCATCACTGCGGGCTTAATTTGATTAAGATCAGAACCACTCACTCGAGTCCATCCGCCGACGGTCCAAATGCAACTATATGACCCTATTACTACTAATGCTCCTAAATTCTATATGCAATGCAATATTTTTGTTTAGGGACTAATAAGATTAGTCCCTAATTTTTTATGCAATAAATTCTTAATAGTTAGCCAAAATTTAGGTGTCAACAACTGCCCCTCTTTGAAAGGGAGCTCGAAGAGGTTTCAATCAAAGATAAAATAATACCTAAATTT